CTCTCTCACACACACTGAGAATTACAACTCCATCTACTCTTGTCTCCCTGGTGACAAAATACCTTCTCTTGTTGAGCCCCCTTCAGCTGAACTAATCTGCTTTGCTTTCCTTTGACCTTTATGTCTGCCACTGCTCCACGTACGCTCACAGCGGCGCGGCGACAGCGTGACACGTTACCTCTCTTCTTTCGGCCGGGCACGTAGCGCCTCAGTGACGCTTATCAGCCGGCGAGCGGCGGCTGACAGATGGGTTACTATGTAAGTCTATGAACTTTGCAGAGGGGAGATGGAGAGCTGTTTCCAGGCAGGTAAGAGAGGGATGATTGGGTCTCGCTGTAAGGGGGTGATGGGGGACGGGTATGTACGATGTGCCTTCCTGCCGTAGTCCCCTGGAGCTGGGCAACACGGTGCACAACCAGCAGCGCTAATTATAGAGCTCACATACCTGAGCAGATAAACACATAGAGAGCATACCTCACAGCGGTAACAATGCACGTGGAAGTCGCGGTCCAGGGCCACGATGCGGACGGTCTCCTCCTGGCCCGGCGCCGGCATTATAGGCTCAGAGCACACACAGCAGCGCGGAGCGAACTTCCTGCGGAATAGAATCATATGACATAAATCAGCTCTGAACAGCAGCAGATGTTGTGACATGATACGACACAATTTGAAACAAATGTCATTTGTAATAATGTTGCACTGACTCACTTTTTGAGACAGTATACACACAAGTGGGGCTGCACCCCACACCTTTAATCAGCCCGATACGTTCTTGATTAAATGGTTTATCGTTTGGTTTATAAAATGTCGGAAAATGGTCAAATAATCACACCAAAGCCTAAACCGATGTGTTCAAATGTCTTGACAAACGGTACACAACTCAAATATGTTAAACTTACAACAATAACCAAACAAGGAAAAACAGCAAATCCTTATAATTAGGAGCCGTAAATAAGAGGAGGGGCTTCATTTCGCTTGATCAATGACTTAAATAATGAATCAACTTTCCAAATATTTTCCCAAAAGAATCTGTCAATAGACTACACCAGCATTTCCTAACAATTCTGGCTTATGACCCCTAAGAGTACTTGCTATTCTCTTAATTATATTTCAATAATCAGAAGTCTAAAAAAGTGAAATTCTCCAGGAATTATTTTGAAAAATAGATCAAAATGTGAATAAATATTTGTTCTGCTTTGCTCCCCTGCTAATTGACCCCTTGTACCCACATTTGGGAACCAAACCTTCAAACTGGTTCAGCTCTTCACACAGGAGTAAACAGGATAGATCATGAAGACAAATAGTGCCTTCACATAATGACACAGTGAGTTAAAGTTAAAAGGCACAGCTTGTGCATTATTTCCTTCGTTTGAATTATTCATTCACTCGGTCGTCGAGGTGGCACTAAAAGCAAAATTTTCCCTTCTCTGAAATATTTCATATAAATATATTATTATGGTATTTGAGGAAAAGCTAAACATTGTAGGGCTTCAGATACCAGAACTGACTCTCACAGTGACACTTTCAGCAACTCTGGAAATGCCTTGAGCAGGAAGAGGTCTGTCCAACAATAGGATCGTTGAGGATATGAAAAGCACGCACGAGATTTCAGGTCCCGTCGGGCGACTGAGGGCCGGTGGACACTTCTATTTCTGATGCTGACCGAGTGCCTGGGAATCAGGAAGTGAGGGAGTTCGTGTGGCTTTGGGGGAACCACGGCCCGTACAGTATTAGCCAGAGAGAACGCTCCGGCCCCGAGCGTGACTGTTCCTCGATACAAAGGGCTGTTCAAGTCACACTTGTCATGTGGGATTAAACAACGGCCCGGTGCAGCGACTCCACAGAGCAAAAAGCTGTGCGCTCACACCGAGAGCCGGTTGTTTACTTCTGTTTCCCTTCTGGTCACTGAGCAGAGGAACATTTCTGGAAAGGTGGCGGTTACGCAATCGGTGGAGTGTGACACAATGACAGGAACATACTATTAAATTCATGTCTGCAGACGCGTGTCATAACGCCATTGGGCTTGTGATATTGCCCGCAATATAAAGGAAGTACTCAGATCTCAGATTGATTCGGCTTAAATATACTGAATACGGTAGCTGAATATTTTGAAGCAGCATTAGTTGATTTTTAGCCACTTGGCGGTAGTAGAACAAGCTGTAAACACAATTCAATTCAATTTATATAGCCCAAAATGACAACTTTTCCTCAGAGGGCTTTACAATCTGTCCTTTGTCCCAGGACCCTCACAACGGAACAGGAAAAACCCTTTAACAGGGATGATTCTCCTTTTGCAATGATGACATATCACCTCGTAGAGTTGTTATGGATGCGATTATAGAAGTGTTAGCAAGCAAGTTACCTATTTACACATCCCACAGACATCGAACGACATTAGCATTCATCTGGCGGCACGTTTCTATGAGAGTTTATCGGAGCTTGTTTCCTGAAAACCGCCTCGTTTGGATGAGAGCCATTAGAGTGAATCAAAACAGTTAAGCTGCTCGTTGTTTTACTTTACGACCAAAACGAGCTTAAAGACGCTAACATATTCAGTAGAGTTGAGAATGTTGAATCCCGTGATAATGCTACTACAGGTGACCCCTTTCACATTACACCGAGTCATGAAAATACCCATTTGTGCAGCTTTAAATGAATGTTGAACAAACAGTATGCTGGTTTTCTGTCTTACTGGTAGTTAGATGAGAGGATGTGTTCAGCTTGGTAAAAAAGATGGCGGACTCTGTGAGGAGGCCCAGCTCCCTTTGTAGATATGAAGGGCTCCTTCTAAGGTATTAGAATCACCTTAATGATTTTTATTTTCAGTTGATTACACACTAATTAAAACATAGTTATTAATAATACATCCCATTTCTGCCAGTAGAAATGCTACACGCTGGCCCTTGAAGAGCTGAGTGGCGATTACATAAAGTAATTTGATACAAAAGTAGTGATTCTTGACCTGATGAAATCCCCGACTACATACTTGTGAAAGTCCTCGATGCAGTGGATGTGGTTGGAAGCGTCCACGGTGAAGGGGATGCCGTCAAGGCTGCGGTGGCACACCACGCAGGTGAAGCAGTGGGGGTGGTAGGCTTTCCCCGTGGCCCGCAGAATGCGCTCCATGATGGGCTTACTGCAGATGGTGCAGCTCTCCAGGGTGTTCTGTACACAGAAAACACACACACACACACACTCACGATTACACAACAAACCTGATGATGAGTTTAGTGAGTCTGATGAGTCATTTCCAAATACCCTTTGAGCTCTTGTTTACAATTAGCACTTGTCTGCTAACGGATTTTAAACCAGCTTGAACATTTTTTTTAAAGTTTCTCTGCATATTTTTTTCCCCAGTTTCTGTGTTTCTTTTTTTAATCTTTTCCGTTGCCGGTGTTGCGCTCCAGGTGGCTCGGCTCCCATTCGCGCCCCGCGCGACGAATAAATCCACACTCAGGCCCTTTAGCTCAGCTGTCCTCGAATGCCTCTGAAGCTGACGGAATCTGATTAGCGCTCCCGTCCAAACACAAACACGCAGTCATTTTTCAGCCGCCCTCACCGGCACTTCATCCTCCCATATGCAAGAGTGCGAGCAGTAAATATTTTCCCTTTGTGATGACTGCAGGTTTTCTGCAGCCAAGGCGACTGGGCAAGCGGCCCGCGGGGGGGACGTGGCGGCCGCCCGCCTCTGACTTATCTGTGGCATCTCTCTTCTTAATATCTGCCGGGAGACGCCATTTGTTATTTCAATATTTCATAAATAACGACCGCCTCTCTAAACAGCAATGCAATTACTAGGGGTGGATATATCATGCGAGGGTGATCAATGTGCGGCCTGATGTGGCAGTGTGAGGGCTGACGGGCCCCCTGCCTCTCGCTCAGGCATTTCCTGGATCTCTGAGTCTCTCACTCCGAGGCCCTGTCCACACTACTCCGTTTCTCCTTGGATGCAGATTTGTCAAATAGAAACGATCTCCGTCCACACGGGAGTTTCAGCATCATTCTCGAGTTGATCTGCGTCCACAGGGCAGCCTTCGAAGGCGGACAGCACGTGACCATTAACGTACACTGTGCATGCGCGTGACGGTGTAAACAGGAAGTGGATTGCTTGCTTTGTTAAAAAAAAAAAAATACGACAGAGTAATAAAGTAGTCTTTAATAATGAAAGGTTGTATTTGATACTTAAGATCTTCCTCTAAAATCTCCCTCTATAAAGTCAAACAGACAGTTCGTGGAAAGTTTTATTTTTCAGACGTAGTTACAGCGCTCGCTCTCTCTCCAAATTTACTTTAACATCAACACTTACACATAAACGTTTACTAGATTATGGGTCCATAAATGTGGTCAACACACGTCTCTCACTCTATTCTGCTCTTGCTTCGTGCAGGAAAGCTTAGCAGATCGCTAACAGTAGATCCGTGAAATAGAGACCATGGAATCCATAGAAGAGTTTCAAGACTTCAGTGTGAATCTTTCTTATTTGTAAAACTGTGGAAACACAATATGAAATATGGCTTTACAAACTGTCCCTATACACATTACATGAATACAAAACAACAATCCATGATATAGCCAGCATGTAACATGTCCGCCTAGCTAGCTTCTAAGCTAATTTTAACATTACCGCCAATGGAGAAATGCTAACCGCGATTAGCATTTAATACAACACAAATGTTATACTAAACACGCGAATAGAATATATCTACGTACATCTTTTCATGCTTCATAAAGACAGACTAAGGTCGCTCAAGGCTACCAAACGGAAGAAGTAAAACGTTAGTGCAGCGTGTCTTCTCATTAGAATCTAAAAACAACGAGCTGCTCCATAGGGCTGATGCTGGTCACGCTGCTCGCTAATCACTCCAATAACAGCTGCTTCCTCCACAGAAATGCAGACTGCACAAAAACAGCTGCTAGCTGTTGTGCTAGCAGCAACATCATGTAGCTGTTGTGCTAGCAGCAACGCTTGCAATTAGTTATCCATGTTGAAATGAATCGCTGGTAGCCCAGTTTGTTTTCTTCCGGGTACGGGTCACGTGATAGTGAGTGTGACGAATCAGGGGACGGAGACGTCATGGTTGCCAAGATCCAATCCAGTAGCAAACACGGGTGTGGGCGTAATTTTTTCTAAGCACATCCATATCCGACCGTCGACACGCAAACGCAACCCCGGAGTTCTGAAATACCTCCAACCTCGGCGGAGTTTTCAGATTCCTCCGTTTAGGGTGCTCCAAAACTCTGGCGTAGTGTGGCCGCTCAGTGTAAACGTAGCAAATACGGAGTAAAAACGGAGTAGTGTGGACAGGGCCTGAGTCTCTCTCTCTCTCTGCCCGGTCTGCCCGGTCTCCCCCCCCCCCTCTCTTTTTCTACGCTTGGCTGGGCTAAAGAGTGCACGGTTCAGCTGCTCCAATTGGCTCACACTGTAGTAGCGAGCTGCCTCAGTGTTTCCAAACAAAGCTCGGGGTGTGTAGCAACACTGCGCCGCGTCATCGGCTGCCTCCAGGACGCACCGCTGGGGCCCCTGCCGTTTAAAATGACACTTCTGCAAACTGCTCGGCCGAGGTGAACTCCCTCTCCCCTGTCCGACTGCGGAGCACGTGTGGTGACATTTGTAGTCAGCACGCTAATGAGCAAAGCAGGGGGAGGTTCAAAGAATACTACAATGCAAAAAAAACATCCGTGCGGCAACTGACGTTCGCTCCTCACGGCGCCCGCCGTGTGTCAGCGGAGGGTGAGAGGGCAACAGATGAGAGCGGCTGATGTCCGACATGGAGGCTGTGGAAAAATGTGGTTTTGTAAATAAATAAATAAAAATGGCCGCTTCTTCAAAGCACTTCAGGCATTATTTCATGAAAAGCAATGTGTGCAGACAAGCTCAGCATTCTTATTTGTCTCTTCTTTTTTTTTCTCTCCCCCTCCAAGACGGTAATAGAAATAAACATTATTCCCAGGGCAACATTTGTGTATAAACAATGTCCACATTGCAATCCTGCTCGATCCTGGAAGTGGAATGAAGCCTTTAATGAGCTCGCTGCACCGAGCCCTTGAGGTTTGCCTCACGCACGCACGCGGAGACAGAGAGTATATATTTGAGAATATATTTGCAACCTGAGAATGTGAGTAAGACGCTGGGGCCAAGTAGCACTAAACCATCCTCAACTCTTCCTCATCTGTCTGCATTCCCACTTACTTATTCTCATCTCCCCTTCACGTGGGAATACCTTGCCCTTGTTTAGCTTAACTAGAGCATATGATTTCATGGCACACAGTTCCTCCGGGCCATTGTAATGAGTACAGTGCTCAAAAGACAAAAAAAAAATTCCCTCTTTCTCTCTCCGACGGTGAGATTCTATGACCTCAATTCATTCGTTCTGCTCAGCCTGCGTTGTTGTTGTTTCTTTTATTTGCTCCTGCCTCCTTTTATTTGGTGTGAGGTGACATTTAGCAGGGCCTGTTACACAAGCTGATGTCAAAACAGAAAGCGTACACGGGGTCTGTGTTTTGGGCTCAACCTCCACAGATGGTTCCAGGATAATCAGCGTAAATCACTTCATGCCCCGTCTCTCACACATCCAGGTTCTCTGCACTTTGCCACTAGAGGGCTGTATATGTCTGCAGATGTCCGGGTTTTTTTTGCTCCCCCCCCCCCCCCCCCGACTAAATGTGATGTATTCAAGCATATGTATTCTGTTTTTTTTTTCTCCCATCCCTCCTCTCTCTCCCTCATACATTTCTCTAAGTGTTTGCCCAGAAGGCTAAACAAATGTCTAGGCAGATGAGGTGAAGTGAATTTAGGTCAGGCAGCCCTCTTGCTGAACCGAAGGGGCGAGTGGAAGTGCGTTTGAGTCAATTGTGGCCCCCTTTTCTGCTCCTTGTGAGGCGTTAGCTTTTCGCTAAAAAGTGATATCATGATCTGCTGTTGCCCCGCGCGGTCCGGCCCGGCTTCCTGCTGTTTAGCAACGGGCTCCCAAACAACGTTTGACACAGCTGTCTTTTGGCATGAAGGGTGTGAGGGCAAACAGAGCGAGGGAGACAGAGTCAAACCACTCACACCTTTATTTAAGAGCGGGATAAATTCACTAATTTCTATAATAAAGTCAGTTTATTGGATTAAATGACAATATCTAAAGTTTAAAGACGGCTAGTAACAAACATTACAGAAAAACAACCATTTGATACTTAAGTTATTTTAAACACAGACCCCGCTATAAGAATTAGGACTACAACGTTTGGATTCATCGGCAGATCATTTTCTCAATAAATCAATTAGTCTGAAGAGATTATTCAAATTGTATTCAGTTTCCTATAATGTGCTGTAAGACAAGCAGCAAATCCTCACATTTAGCAGCTGGAACCACACAAACGTTTGGCAGATGGACGATTAACAGATTCTCATTCATGATATTTAAATGTTGCTGCAGTCTCGAGTATTGTATGAAACCTGTTCAACTTCATAATGTGAATCAATACTTGCAAGGGGCCAAGGATCCATCCCCAATTCAAACACTACAAATGGTTCAGTCGGTGGTGTGTGCACAGTTCCAGGTAAAACAAAGAAACACTTTCCATGTGTGCCCGTAAAAAAAGAAAACGGTAAACAGTTGGAAATCTGCGGCATGTTGCTAAACTGAAGCTGTTCACCATCTCCGGACAGCCCCAACACGATTGTTTTTACACCTATGCGTTCTTTTTTTATTTTCCACCCGGCCTAGTCGGGGCTGACAGGAGGCAGGCTGGACTTCAGCGAGACTGCACGCGATTTATGAGTTGGCACGGCGAACCCCTCAGAGCGCCGCCAGATTTACAGATGATCTGAATCAGTGTGCGCGTCCAGACCGTCACAGAATGTGTCAATTAACTGCACCCTGCTGACGGTAGCTTGTGCGATGTCTAACAACATTTTGTTCGAAAGAAAGGCCCGAGCGCTGCTGCTGATGCCTTTGCTTTCCTCTGCAGTGAAGAAGACGCACTGACTTGGTCGTGAACTATGAGTCAAAACACTGACCCTCCTACTTCCTGAGGGAAGGTGTCCGCTGACTTAATGGACCTCGACAAGCAGCCTCCCTCCCTTTTATCGCTTTAAGTTAATACAGGGAGTTTTAACTGGTTATGAAATCGTCTGGGTGTAATACTGATGCCTCTATATGACCTACATGCTGGAAGTG